ATAAACAGTGAGGACAGACCCAAAGCGGTCGACACGTGACACGCCTCCAGAGATCTCATATCAAAGGCATATAACGTGTAACTGACGGGTATTAAGACACCACACATGATGGTCAGCAATATCTTCAACCTCTGCACAGTTCTCAAGTGTGCGATGTATGGGAAGTGGAAGACACTGATCCACTCCTTCACGCGGACCCTCTTCTTCATGTCCCACTGATGAATGCCAACGATTCCGGCGATCTTCACATCCGATCCCTTCCTCTCGTCTGAGATGGACTCCTCTGTCAATGGGTTTGTTTGCGGTGTCTTTGGATCTGTTTTCGCAGATTCCTTTGTCGACAGGCATCTGATGGCCAAACCATTTGGTGATACTTTACTGTCATATCGTTCATATTCACCACAACTGGTGAATGGCTTGAGTTGAGTGTCAAATAGCCATGAGTTTAGACACCGTTTGTGAGCTGTGTTTGCAGTCATATTCACCTGTAATTCAAGTCTTATTATAATTATATGACAAACAATTGAATGAATAAAAGTTTTTTACTTGAATTTTATGGATTAATAGATAATTATTGGATTGAAAACAAAGCAAACATTTATTGAAAGCCTTTATTGACTGCATTTTCAACGCAATGTTAGGGAAATGTTTAGACATTGAATTCATGGCTTATTTAGTTGTCATTGAATACTAATTCAATTCAATTGTATTTGTTGCGAAAAGTTTCATAAACATCTAGTTATGTGAGTATGGATATATAAATTAATAAAATATCAAGTTCTTCGAATATAACCTAGCTAATTGTTGTAATATTAGTTGTAAATCATTTGAAAGTCCCTCAAAAGATGGAAATTTAAAAAACTTTGTGCAAACATGTTATGCAATACTTGTGTGAAGTTTTTGTTTGATATATGAAAGCGTTTTAATATTTAAGTGTCAAAAGTGTGCAAATATGTCTAAATTGTTACTAATTGTAATCGTATTGAAAGTATTAATAGTATTCATTGAATGCAATCATAAGCCCATCATATCATTCAATGTCTACGAAAGGGAGGACTCTTTGGGCCAATACTTCGCAAACCTATT